TCAGAGGGAGATACAAATGCCCAGGCACCCTGGCTGGGAACAGAAGGCCCTTTGTGTGACCCAGTTTCCTCTCCAGTCACCCCTCCCCCAGTCCCCTGCAGGGGCATTTCATGCCCGTGAGCTGCTTCCTGAGCGAGCCAGGCCACTTCTGAATTCTGTGCCTTTGGACACGCTGTCTCCTCTATCTTAGAATATTACCCTTCTTTTTTTTCTCCCATGGTGGCAAATTCTGCTCATCCTTCACGGTTCACCCCTGATAGCACTTTCTCTGTGAAGCTTTTTTGGGATTCCCTCCAAAAGTCACCCTTTGTTTTTCCGACAGTGACCAGCTTCTGCCTCTTTTACATCACTTAGAATCCTGAAGGAACGATCTTCACGTCTCTCTCCCATGAGACTGTGCGCTCTCTGTGTTTCCTGAGTTAAGAACTGCCCTGTGCATCTTAAAGGTGCTTTGTGAGTTCTGGATAAACGTGGAAGTGAACACACAGGTTATAGTTCTTCTGAGTCCACCTGTGACATCTCCAGAAACGTCAGAGATCTACTGAGACCTATACCAACTGGAAGACTGTTGTTTTGCACGTGTAGGAGCCAGGGATTCTCCTTGGGGTAATCCCACCTCCAGGCGCCTCTCAATAGCGTGCTCTTCCCTCCTCCTTATGAACGTGCACCTACTGGCAGTTGCTGTCTTTCCTGGACTGGGCAAGAAGGGGGATGAGCCCAGCCTAAGCACACGGTGGCTTGGAACCAGCCAGGGACTCTCCGCCATCCGTAGTGAGAGGTCCAGGGAGAGAAGCGAAGGCTACAGGGATTCTAGGCGAACAAAGATGGGCTGGTGTGAGTGGGACAGAGTCTTTGCCTGCCCTTCCAGCAGAGACAATAGCATGACAGGAGAAAGCAATGAGAGGAAACTAAAGGGGAAAACATGTTTCCACTACTATCAGCTGAGTTGTGCAGGACTCAGGCAAGGGCCCGATGTGAGTTTCCCTCAAGCCTCGAGAACATTCTGCAGGTACATCAGGGAACGCCTTAGAAGCGCTCACACTGCACATGCACGTCCCAAAGACACCCCACCCCCGACTCATTGGCACACAGCGAAATAGATTCCCAGCTGTTTTTCAAATCGATTTTAATCAAAGACCTGTTCATCTTTTTACCATGAAGCTGTAGGAAGGCAGCCCGTGATCCTCGGCGGACAGCAAACCCTGACGTCGGAAGCTGCAATTCCTGCAGTTGAGCTTCTACACTCGAAACTGCCCTCTGGGCCTGCGGTGAGATCAGCCCGGAACGCTGAGGCGTGAAGTGTAATGGTCCACAGTGACGGTTCCGGAGTTTGACACCCCTGGGCCAGAATTCCAGGGCAGCTGTTTTCTGTGTGACCCTTGGCAAGTCACATAGCCTTTTTTGGAGGTTTTGCTTCCTCTTTTATAAAATGACTCACTCTCTCCCTGGATACAGGTCTCTTTTCAAACGTCATCTCCTGAGAGAGGCCCTTCCAGTCCATTCTGTCTAAAATGGTACTTCCTGCCACTCTCAGTCCGCTGCTCCAGCTTGACATTCTTCCTGGCGTGCGTTACTCTCCATGCTTCATTACCTTCTTTGTCCGTTGTCCTCCATAAGTGGGGAAGCTCCAAGAAGGCAGGGTGTTCGTCTCACTCACTCTAGAGAAGTTGCCAGCACATATTAGGAACTCAGTAAATACTTGCTCAAGGCCTGAGTCGGGGTAGTGACTGTATCTAGCATCCGACTGCCGTGAGGATTAAGAGAATAAGGCACAAAAATGTTCAGCACATTGTGTAGCATGTTAGAAGCACACAGCGAATGATAACTAGTAGTTCTAATAGTATCAGTAATAAACATTCCACCCCTGAAGTCATTTCGTAATCCAGCAATGAAAACCTGACTTTATGTAGTCCTTTTCCTACGTTCTTTAATGAATAACCCAGTTTTTCCCAGAAAAGGGTTGTAGATATTTTACAAAACTATGTAAAACTAGCTGTACTAACATAACATCATTCTGGAATATTTTTACAGTTGTTGATAAAATTTTAATGCCTTTCTATTTGCTTGTTCATACATTTCACAGTTAACACAACGAACAATGTCACTCTTCTCATACACAGCTCGCAGTGAGACTGGTAATCAGACTTCAGAGAGAGACGCGTACAGTTGCCACAAACCGAAGACACGCAGTGGGTCTGGTCTCAGCCCTACTGTGCGCGTGAGCGCCTAAGCCGAACTGCGCTCGTCCTCTGTCCTGCAGCTTCACATCCCTATCAGGAAACAGCTCTTAATAAAACACAGTAGGTGTCAACTAGTGCTCTGGAATATAGTTTCCATAAGGACAGTATTTAATGTACTAATTTACCTAATGACTCTCCAGTGTGGTGTATGGCAAAGCTCACAGCTGTACATGTTTCCTCCGTTCTTCCCTTTCATTTTCTTTACAGCGTGTAGACCTCTGTGTTCAGTGCTCTGTGTGGTTAGCCCCATCGCGCTTCCCTTGACTTACTCCTACTCTCTCTTCTCATCCCACGGTGGCCTCTGTCCTTATTCGTTGTCACGATCTCTGCTTTGTTACCGCATTTGCATTTCTTATAAGGCTCCTACAGTTTTTACTCAAGATTTAGTTCTTTTTACCCTTCTTAAATTATTTGATTAAGCAAATGTATGCTCAAAAAATCCATAAAATTCCTTAATGAAATTAATAAAGTCTCAGCTAGGAGCTTTGGATTTAATTGATAAATGCTTAGAAGTGTGTTTAATTTTTGTAAGCAGTTTTGTACCTGGCATTGTCCAAAACAGATGACATGTTGAATATTATTTATTGTAGAAATTCCTAAGCTTAACCCAAAAAGATTTTTAGCTCAGTAAATCTAAATCCTCAGAAACATGTATTTTTTACATATGGTCCTAATTTGAATCTTTGCTATTACAGTTTATAACAGGCTTGCTTTCCACATGATCACCGGAAGCTTGCACCAGCTGAGGTGGTCAAGAGACCATTTCATCCAGCTGAACCGTGGGGAAACACACTTTAGCATTAAATATTTAAGAAAGATTCTAGAATAGAAAAAGGAATGTGAGAAGAAATCACTGAGATGAGGAAATCAGGAAACGATAATATAAGGCAAAGTGTAAAATAACTTCTAAGAAATGAATACCATGTTTTTCTGCATAATTGCTAAAGTTGAGCCTGAGCCACAGTTCTGGTTGTAATGGGTGGAGCAAAGAGAAAAACATATCTGCTTATGAGACTCCCAGATTGTTGGTTTACTTAGGAGAGTCACAGGTCTTCCTAGCAATGAAATCCTAGAAAAATTCCCCTTGTGTGTCCTAACGAAGGGAATAGTGCATAAGGGAGTGAGCTACTTCCTCAGCAACCCCCTGGATTAAATGCCACGGAGAACTGAACAGGAGCACTTCTCACAGCACCCGCAGCAGCAGTAAACGTCATTACCCACAAGGCAGCTCACAAAAAGTGGTCCATGAGGAGTCGAGACAGTGGCATCCCAGGATGCAACTCTCGATTCAGGAATACCTTTTAGAATTTTTAAAAGACTGGACTTATTTGTTCATTCAGTAAATATTTATCAAGCATTTTATGGGTTAGGTACCATGCTGGGCATGATGGAGGGAGCAGTGACAAGACAAATGTCGCCTCGTTCTTCAGAGAAGAACATACTTGTTGGAAAGATAGACAAACAACTACAAGACATTGAGATGTGTGCAAGATGAGAAGACATCCAAACTCTGGATCTTCAGCTCCTTGACCGTCTCTGCTCCTGCTGCGTTTTCCTCCACTTTACTACAGCTGATCTAGCCTTATTATCACACACGACCTGGTTATTACTGCAATCAGCACCACCTGCAAATCTGCTTCAGAAAAATCGACTTCTAACTCATACCTCCTCCCTTGCTCCAGCTCACCCACGTGATTCTTTAACCTCACCAGTATTCCCAAACCGTCAGCCACGATCTCATTACCTCTCCTCCTTTGTACCTCTCTCTTCCGTCAACACTTATTTGGAGTAAAACACACCTGCGGAGTCCAGTTTATCCACACCTGCATTTTAACACACACACAAAATATGGCTGACCAGTTTCACTTTAAATTCATGATCGAAAACCTGAACAAAATACTATCCTCTTGTTTTCCAATCTCGTAATTGACTATTTCATACCTTCTACAGTTTCTCTTCTCAAACCCTCTTCAAATACGAATTATGTGTCATTTTAAATGTTCTTTATGATGAAAATATAGAAACCATCAGGTAAGAATTTCTCTATCTTCCTCCCCACCTAATCTGTGACTCTACATCCATCTTCTCCGTTTCTCTTGTTTCAATGGAGGAAGCAGAGCTTCTCCAGCAAAGGTCCATCTACCCTCTCGAGGTCTGGAAACCTGAGCCCTGCACCTTCTCAGGATTCCCTGCTCTTTGCTGCATTTTCAGTTCTGCTTGTGTTTGGATCATCTTCATCAGCGCACAAACGTGCTATAGAAAGTCTGTCTCCTGGTAAATACAGATGAACAAACAAAACCCCAAATCCCTCGCCCAATATTCCCCTCCAGATGCTCAATTTCTTGTTCACATAAGAAAAAAAAACCCTCTTTTCTTTCCTTCTCATGGTTTATTCCAATTTTACTCCAGTGAAACTTCTCTGTTAAAGTCACTCGCGATCTCTGGGCTGCCAAATACAATGGATTGTTTTGTATTTCACCTCAACCTCCAACCAGTCCTCCTTAGAGACTGCCCATCTTCTCCTCTGGCAATACCACATTCCTTTGGTTTTCTTCCTGCCTCAGCGACCCTCTTTCTGAAATTCACTTGCTGGCTCCTCCTTTCCTACAAGGCTGCGCCTCTGATCTGTGTGCTCCTGTATTCAGCTGCCCACTTGACGCACAGGTGTCAGAAGGAGAGCCGAGACCGTAGGGTGGCAAGAGGCTCCTTGTCAGGAGGCTACTCCAGAAGTCTGGGCAACAGGTGATGGTAGCAACGGCTATGGAGAGGAGTGTGTTGACCCAAGAGATGCTCAGGAGGAAGAATTACCCAGACTCGGTGACTGACAGATGTGGCCGGGGATACGAGCAGTAGGAATCAAGGATGACAACCAGGGCCGTATCTTTCAGGAAGATTGAGAAAGAAAAGTGGCCTGCAGACAATACGTCCCTTAGAAACCTGCCCATGGGATCTGTGGTATTCATGGCTTCAAGAAGAGGACAGACACAGCCTAGAACTAAGGAGTTATTCCTCAATGTTGAATTTCAAATTTAATTTGTTTTCTCTATCCTTAGATGACACCATTGTTGAGAGCCAAGATTTGTTGAAAGAAAAAAGTGTTTCCTCAAATCTAAAACTCACTGTTCACATATCAAGCATCAAGTTTGGAGTTTTGAGATCAGACTCTCCCAAGCTACCAGGTAGGCTGAGTCCTGTCCCAGGTAAAGCTCTCTGAACCTGTCACTCAGATGGAGTTTGGGGTGTAAGATGGTTATTGTGGCTCAGCACCTGTGAGAGGAAAGGAAGGAAGTAGGATTTGGAAGTTAAAGAAGCTGAATTTCAAGGCAGGTCCAAAGAAGCCTTGATCCAACCAGCAGGGAGCTGTGGAATAAGCGGTGCCCATCAGAGCTGTCTGTGCGGGGCTAGGTGGGCTGGGTGTCTGTTCCCCGGCCTTACTGAGACAGGAGCTTCCCTGGGAGCGGGCTGGTCTCCGGTGAAGCGGCTCTGCTGCTCGGGCAGTCCCTTCTGCTGACAGCACCACCAGTGCTGGGGAGAAGAGTCATCCTTCGAGGGGTGTCTGGGGGGTCCACATCCATGTATCCCACAGGAAACTTCCAGTTCGGGGAAGAACTGGAAAAAGAGGGAGAGAAGGACAAGAGGTGAAATATGTGTGTCCTCAGGGTTGAGAAAAAGTAATATATTTCTGGTTCTTTGGGATTATCCAGCCAAGGACGGGGCAGCCTGAGATGACCTGCCTCGCAGCCTGGAAAGCGAGGGCCCTTTTCCCTGAGACTTGTGCCGGCTGTGCCTGCAGAAGATGGATTCACACGGCGGGACCACAGTCACAGCACCAACAGCAGTCCCGGCTCACGGGCACCGGGTGCCTGTCTTCTTGGTCAACCCCCCTGCCTCCCCCAGCTCCATACACCCCACGACAAAAGCAGCAGAGCTCTGACCACCTCCGCCGCTGCTTACCAAGGAAGGACTTCGAAGCTCATGAAGTGGTATGTATAACCTATCCCAGCATGGAGAGGAGACAACGTGCTTACTGGCATTCCCTTTTCAGGACCAGATTCTCTTATGTTCAGTGCTTCTGAGCTCTAGGGCTCAGAAAGTCTAAGCCCAGCAAATTTGGAAGAACTTCTGATGAATGCCTTGTCCCGATATTTAGAGTAAAGGAGGCATCAATCTCCCCATGTAGGGATGGCAGCCTTCACCGAGCAGACTAAAGAAAAAGGATGATGCTAACTCAGACCCTGAGGGGGTTTATTATATTAAAGTGAAGACCATAAATCTCACTCCAGCACGTTTGAGTCGAGCCCCCCCCCACACTTCTTGTCTCACTTGCCACCCCTCCGAACACCCCAGTGAAATAGAACTGGAGGAGAAAATGACGAACCCAAGCTGAGGCAGGCCTTTTTCCAAATCGCTCATTAAACCACCACGTCCTGAAGCACTTGGGGAAGGCTTTTATTTAAACTCTGAGTACAAAGCCAGAGTAAGGCTAGCACAAATGAAGTGGCTCTAACAAGTATCAAAATGTAGGCCAAAAGCAAAATGCCACTGTTTGTAAAGACAGCTAATGAAATTCCTATCTATTCATTGTATTTTTCTGCAGCTCGTGACCTGCCCACTGCAGTCAATTTCACTGAGAGCTAAACACTCTGCCAAGTTCTGGGGCCATAAAATGTGCTCTCATGGAGTTCTAGGGGGTTTTGTGTGTGTGTGTGTGTGTGTGTGTGTGTGGTTACTTTGTGCTTTTATTTGCCAGGATAACTTAGCTACAGTGTCTTGCAAATTTTTTTTGCCCTAAAAAATACATTTTACATCACAATCCAACCCCACATCAAAGGAGATGAATGTTTATGTTCTACGTCTGTAATCAAATAGCCTAAAAAGTGTGTGATATTGTTCCCATTTACTGAGTGTCAGAAAGACTGGAGGAGGAAGCTTTAACCCAGGCTTAGCTGATTTGAAAATTATTTTCACCCTAAAATGTTTTTTATTTTAAGTGATATTTGACCTGCAAAATGTGAACTTCCCCTTTAGTATCCAGAGAATTGGAATGTGCCCTCCAATAAAAGAAAAAAAATACAAATTTTGAGAAGACTGTGAAGGCCTTCTAGGAACTGAAAGTAATTACCACTGAGTTGGACCCACACGGCAGTGAATGAAACTAATCTGACCTGGGTTGAAAATTGGAAATGTTCAGTCTTACTCTAAGCCGGCCTGTGCTTGACCCTGATTTTTGCTGGTAAGCTCACTAAGGATGAGGGTGTGCCAAAGTTGGCAGGTACCTTGTGAATATGTGAACCATTGACTTGCTTGCCGCTCACCCACAGTCATGGCTGTGGCCCCAGCTAGCAGCGGCTATGATGGTTAGGGATAAAAAAATGAAGGTGCTCCAGGAGACTGAGCTGAAATCTCCTTGCCATGCGGATTCCCAGGCTACTTTCCTAGGAAAGCAGCCTGAGGGAAAGCCACTCAAGGCACAGCAGCAACTGAGACACAGAGGGCTCCCTGTAACGGTGCACTTATGGCCAACGTTCACTCAGCCCCACCCTCTCAGGTGGCTTCTAACGTGGTGACAATTACTCACCTTATTAAGGGTTATCCATAGGGCTTGACTCTATGTGTTTAAAAAGCAAAAAGCAATGGCAAAATATGTGCCCCTTTCTGTAGGCGTATTATATATTTCAACAAAAAGTTAAAAAATAAAAAGGTAATAATGAAAAGTTGGAGTCAGAGCATGAGAATAGCAATCTGCTTCCTTCCCTCCTCTTCACAGTAGTCAAGGACGCCTACAAAAAAAAAAAAATGCCAGTGCTGGGGTGCAGATAACAAAAGGCAGGGGCTGGCCAACATTCCTAGCTCTCGTTCCATGAAGGAAAGTCAAAATGTCTTTTCAAATGACCAGTTTCACAGGGCCCCTCATTGTGGATTTTCCCATATTCCCTCCAACAGGAAGCTGGAAAGCCCAGCATGTTGGAAGCATCAGCTGGTGGAGAGCTGACTGAGCCTCCTGGTTGGGGGATACGTCAGACAAATGCCTGGAGAACTGAGCAGATGTCACCTGGATGAGACCAAAGGGCCAACTTGTAAAAGAGCCTGTGTATTCTTGTTGGGTCCTGTGGACGTTGTCAGGGAAAAGTCATTATGAAATTCCTTATTTCATTCACTCCTTCATTCAACAATATTTAGTAGATGCCCACCATGTGCCTAGCACTGTGTTGAATACTAGAAGTGCAGGAGGAAATTAGACAGACACAGTTTTGCCCTCATGAAACTTACATTCAGAGGAGCTGGCTCAGGTTAGCAGATAAGGACATTTCTGCACTTTGGCATTAGACAGACCTTTGCATCCTGGCTCTGACACTTAGTTGGGAGCCATGTAACCTTAGGTCTTGGGCAATTCACTCAATCTATCATCCATAAAACAGGGATAAAAATATCCATCCCAGTCGTTCCCAATACTCCTAGAATCACCTAGGAAATTTTTAAACGTATCCATGCCTAGCAACACTATATACAATAGCCAAGACATGGAAGCAACCTAGATGTCCAGTGACAGATGACTGGCTAAAGATGTTGTGGTATATTTTTACAATGGAATACTACTCAGCCATAAAAAAGAATAAAATAATGCCATTTGCAGCAACATGGATGGACCTAGAGATGGTCATTCTAAGTGAAGTAAGCCAGAAAGAAAAAGAAAAATACCATATTATATCACTTATATGTGGGAATCCCCCCAAAAAAAGACAAATGAAATTTATAAAACAGAAACAGACTCACAGACATAGAAAACAAACTTATGGTTACCAGGGGAAGGGGGATGGGAAGGGATAAATTTGGGAGTCTGAGATCTGCAACTGTTAGCCACTATATATAAAAATAGATTAAAAAAAACAAATAAGTTTCTTCTGTATAGCACAAGGAACTATATTCAATATCTTATAATAACCTTTAATGAAAAATAATATGAAAATGCCTATGTATATGTAAGTATGTGCATGACTGGGACATTGTGCTGTACACCAGAAATTGCCACATTGTAACTGATTGTACTTCAATTTAAAAAAAAGCCCCCATGCCTAAGCCATTCCCATAGATTTTGATTTAGTTGGTCTGGGTAAGCTTCAAATCATCAGGAATTTAAAAGGCCACAGATACTTCTACTGAGCAGCCAGTGAAAACTACTCCTCTATCCTATTAGGGTTAGTGGGAGAATTACACTGAATGATGCACATGAATACCTCATGCTGAGTAAACAGAACTGTTAGCTTTGACTCCCAAGCCTAACAGGGGCTAACTCAGCAGAGGTCCAGGTATCTGGGAGAAGATGGTGAGTGTGAAATGGTCAGTGAGCAAGGAGAGCTGAAGATAATTCTGACAGTTTTATTCCTCAAAGGAAAAAAATGACTACCAGTCTATACCTGGATTACAACTCAGTAACCACCTGTGCACTGATTTTAATGGGTTAGCTGACTTGGCTATTTCAGGAGATGGTTTGCTCTGGGCTTCTTTCTTTCTTTCTTTATTTTAATTTTCATTGTGAGTACAAACCACAACTCAGAGTTTAATAATGTTATCAACATGAAAGCACTCAGGGAGTATTGGTCCCATGAGCCCTTCCAAAGAATCTACAAGCATATACATTTCAAACATTAAAACGTCAGAGAAGCGTCAACCTAAGAACTGTGGCAAGCATTCAAAATATAGTTACTTGCAGTACCAAGACTAGGCGAAGGTTAAAGGGAGAACAAATATATTTAATGACCATATGCTCAGGCGACTGTGGATAGATAGGCTATAGCTCTTAGAACAGAAAGAGAATGCAAAGAGCACATGCAAAAGTTTAAAATCCTTCTCAGTAATGGTATGAGTGGTGGTGGTATCAATATCATTATTTGAGACTCATATATAGAAATAGGACCGGCAATTGAGTAGTTATAACACACTGGATATTCCAATTCTGTTGTCCTCTAAGTACTTGAGAACCAGGACTCCTGAATGAGAAGTACTAGTATGAACTCACAAGGTATTTTACTAAGAGGGGTGTGTGTGTGTGTGTCTGTGACAGAAAGACAGTGAGCAACCCATTAGCAGTGAGAATCCCAGCAACCCAGATTCTTAGATGCTGGTCTTATTTTCCGCTTTAAAAAAAAGGCATTTTGGAGAATGGCTGGTTTGATGTGTAAGATGAGCCGAGAACATTTTTTTTATATTAGGTAGTAAGGAAGCTATCAAAAACTATTAAGATCATGTCAATGGCTCTCAGAAGTCAATCTGGTGAGCCTCCCACTGGCTAAAGACGAGGCAATTCGAACTTCAGAAAGGATAACAATTGCAGTTGGAACCCATCAAATATAGGAAAATACTCTAATTCATGATAATTGTTTAAATCAAATTGGTTATTTTGGGAGGAAGATAAAGAACCAATTATCTTGTGAACTGAAATAAGAGGAAAAGAATCAAGTACATATATTGTCTTTTCTATATAAACCAGGTACCTATGGGTACTCAAGAGTGGATGATAGAAATCATCTTATTGTAAAATATCCCAAGTAATAAATGAAGAGTAAATTATAGAATTAGAATGCCATTATTTTGTAAGTTCTAAAGAACAAATAGATTTAGGTAATGAGCATGAGTGGCTGCTGATATCACCAAAAGAGGGACAAGCAGACGCTGTGTGTTTTCTGAGGAAAGACCTCACCACTACCATAATGAGAACAAAGCAACATGGTGGATTCTGAGCAAGCAGAGTTAGTCTTGGCAAAAGGACAGAACTGAGCCTGATCAAGCCTTTGCATCCAGCTGTCAATTGACAAAAATATAGAAAATGGAGGAACATACTGAGCTATACCATAGGATACAATCAACAAAATCAGGACTGTGGAAAATTCTGCAGATCAAATACCCTGAGGTTTTCCAACAGATAAATTATTAGGAAAAGAAGAGAAGGAAAGGAAACCTATAAACTAAAAGAGGCTTAAAAGACTTCTTTTTTTTTTTTTAAGCTAAGCTATAGTATTCTAAGGATGCACCCAGTTAGGGATGGGTGATAAACTATTAAAAATACACCCACATGGAAGTAACTTCTCTAGAAGTAAGGAGCCTGGTTACTTTCAGAAAGAAGGATAAGTTGGGACTGATGCACATGAAAGGATTTCTGAAATGGCTGGCAAAGTTTTATTTCTTGACCTGGGGTGTTTATAAGGGAGTCCATCTCATGAAAATAAAATAACAGCAATAATAGTATAACAATAAACTATACATTTCTTTTATGTGGCTTTCTTATCTGTGTTTTATTTTACAATACAAAGCTTTTTAAAAACCCTTTTGCAGAATGAAGAATAAACGTATAAAGCAAATCTAATTAGCCTCCTAAATTCTCTTTTTTTGATACATCCGTATTTTATTGGATAGTTTGTTTGGAACAAGTACATGTGTATTCTGGGAGTATGTTTTCAAAAATCATTACAATGTAATCAATCAACAAATGCTTACCAAATACCTACTGTGTGCAAGGTTCCATTGTAATTGTCTCACTGGAATTGGTTTATAGCTTCAGATACTTGCACTGTTTCCGGGATTAACAATGTATGTTGGAAATATTCACTGTGGGGTTGAATTTTTCTGTTATTCTGTTTGTTTATAATGTTTAGTTTTATTAATTGGTTGAACTACTGCATTCTGGAGAAGAAATGCTTGTGAGACACTTCCATTTACACAAAGAAGTGGTCTCTTCCCCTGGGCTTAGCCACTGCCTGCACTGAGGCCACAGTCCAGTGGTCCAGGGCGCCACCTCCTGCAGGCACCAGCAGCCGGAACTCTGCTTGCTGAGAATCTGCTGTTACTGGGCCACCCTAGAGTGCCTCATCATCCCACCCTCACAACCACAACCACACACACCAGGATAGTCAGTTCCTGGAAATGACAGTTTCGGAGAGGTTTATGATGGGTACCAATTCCCAGCAAACCAAAAGGGTGTTTGAGAATTTTTACCAACTCAAGATGACAAACATCCGGAAGCAACTTACTCCTTTCCACCAGAAAAACCCAGTTTCTAAATTTATAACTTAGCAATTTTTATGCCGTTTGTGCAAAGCAAAGGAACCACGAAAGTTGCAAAACTAAAGTACTCCTTTGTGGCCAAGAAGCTTCTATCTCAATTAAAAATAATACAATGATAGTAATAATAATAGTAAAGATAGACAGATAAATAGATAACATTGACCATGTGGCAGAGGCTGTGGATTCATTTATGTAACCCTCAAACAACCCAAACAGAAGTGGTACTATCACCTTCCCGCTTTACAGAGAGTGGAACCGAGGAGCAGAGAGGGTAAGCAATTTGCCCAAGGTCACGCAGCTAGTAAACAGCAATGCTAGGACTCAAACCACATGGTCTGGCTCCAGAGCCTGTGCCATTAGCCACGTGTTACCATACTGCCAGAAACTTTTAACATCTTGGCAAGCCCAGTAAATGCTAGGGTAGGGAAGATTGTAGTTTATATTTGAACATCCCCTGGCTTGTCAGATTTGTATTTTACAACCTCTGGCAGAGCGCATAGCTAATCAGTGCTCAAATAGCACCCATCCACTATGTCCCTTACTAGTTCTTGAAGCAGCCTACGTCTCTCCATCCCCACTGTCACAGCTCTGCTTCAAGCCACCATCATTTTTCCACTAGATTATTGCGGGAGCCTCCTAAGTGACTTCCTGCCTCTAGCCCTAATTGGAGAGAAGATGAGAAGCCAAAACAGAAATATAAAAGTGGCAACCTCGCCAAAGAATGCACATACACCACCTCCAACACCTTCTAGAAGCAAAGGCTGGAGAGAGAGGTGAAAGCAGTTGCAAACTCAGGTCCTTGCAAATCTAGAGAAAGTCAAAAGCAGAGCCAGTAGGAACACGATAGGTGAAATCCCTCACAAAGAGCAGACCACCTGGACCTGCCCTCAGGGACGAGGGGCCACGAGGCTGTCTGCTCTCCGCCCTACCTCCTCCAGCCTCTCTGGGGCTCAGGACACCCGATCAGAGAAGCTTGGCTGGCTCAGGTCACCCTCCCTCTTGCGCTGGCCTTGCTGCAATGTGCCCTGGGCAGGGCACTGGGCAGGAAGGAGCCTCCTCACATGATCCAGCTTAATCCTCCTCCCTTCCCAAGTCTGCACACTGCTGTAAGAGCGCTGCAGAAATGCAGACAGAAGGGGGCCCACGGTGGGCAAGAAGGGCCTTGCTCCTCGGCATCCTCTGGGCCAGTGCACACCTGCCTCTCCCAGGTGCCTCCCTGACCCAGCGCCTCCCAAGGGCTCCAGGTAGGTGGACACTGGGGTCGGCTACCTCTCTGGCTGCTGCCACATACGGGACGAACAAAGAGAGGGAAATTCTCATTTGACTCACTTTTGTTTATGCTTCCTGCTGTATTTGCTCTGATTTTTGGCATTTGGTAGGGTATCAAACACTTTGGATCCCTCGAACAAGTTCTCAAAGACAGCTCCGAAGTAATTCACAGATGTCATGAAGCAGGAGAGTCTCCGGTTTTTGTTGTCAGAGACTTTGTCATGGAAAAAGAAATCCTTCCTAGGAATTCCCTCTGTCACGGTGGATGAGTGATTCTTGCTGGGCTTTGGCTTTGTGGACGGCTTGGGCTCTGAAATAGGAAAATGAAATTGCACAGATACCAGACGTCTTCATCTTCAGAGCTACAGTTTCTAACTGAGGGGGGACAGGGGTTCAGAATTCCCTTTTAGAAATGAAGCAGACAAGGAAGACTGATTTTATGGTTTCCTCTTTTTAATTCTTCCACCATCATTATCTTATTTCATTAAAGCCCCTCTTTCGGGTCCCAAAGATTAATTCTTTTAAGGATCCACAATTACATCATATTCAAAAGTGCTTTATACATTTTCACCAGGGTTCTTAAAATCCCACCCAGAAACTGCACACTTAGTTTTCTTAAGGAATTTCTTTGTGGACTTGGAGTGTGTGACTCCCACATCCTTTACATTTTCACCTCCTTTTCCTTACCAGGAAATAGCACCCAATGTGTTGTGTCACCATCATCAGAGTTTCCTGAAGGGTTTTTCACAAAACAGGAGGTCGCAGATGGAGGCGTCATTATCTACTTCCTAATTATCCTGTACATGTTCATGGCCGTGTCTATTGTCTGTGACGGGTACTTCCTGCCCTCCTTGGAAATCATCAGTGAGTGTAAGTAGCTGGGGATCTCCCCTGTAACCTTCCAGAACAGTGGTGCCACCCAAGTAGACAGCTGTCTTGGAGGTAGGTCAGCACCAGTCCCGCCCATCTCAGCGGGTCGCAGGGCACTGACTCCGGTGTCGTGGGGCCCCGCACCTCAAGGCTGTGGCTGAGTGTGGTTTCCCTTGGTGGTTAATGTGCAGCAGAGCACCTCTAAATGAGCACAAAGCAACCCTCATTACACTGCTTATCTCCAGAAACTTTTGGTTTGTCTACTGCACCGCCTGGCTGTGAGCAACCTGTTCCAAGTCTCACATCGATGCACTTGACACACTTGGCACTCTTAATACATTGGGCTCTTAATACTTGCCATCTGATACTCCAAAAAACTTTTATCAGTTTTACGTTATAACGTTTTTAGAAAGGTAGATGGCAAACAGATGCCTTTAAGGACCGCCCTCCCCACTCTTCTCTTTCCCAGGCTCCTACAAGTAAGGAAACTAATCCGCGTTTGTGAATCAGTAAGTAAATAAATAGGCCCTGCAGCTTATGTAAAGTGACCTCAGGCATCAGGTCATTGGAAATTAAGCTCAGTTACTGGTTTCTGGAAATAAGATTTGCCAGTTGAAGTCCCTCAGTTCTATCCCTTTGGTCATGTACATCGCCCAGGATTCCAAGCACAGACCTTACATGGGTGCAGTGGTCCCTAAACTCGGGATATCAGTGATGTTTTATGCCAGATAAGCAAAAGTGCCAGCGTTCCCAGTCTCTGTCTCTGGCTTGGTTAGTTTAATTGGCTGAGAATGCTCACTTCAGAGAAGGTCAAAGTTAAGAGTTAATTTCCCACTGCATACTCACAGGATTGCACAGAAATAGCATCCTCCTACCCCCCACCCCCACCCCACATCTTGCTGGGAAAGAGCACGAATGTAAACCCTCCCTCTCCTTTTCCCCTTTACCATGGCCCCATTCCCCCACCCCTGCTGAAATGTGAGTCATAGTCTCTCTTGTTCAGTGCAGAACAGCAGCATCCTTAGGACCTAAAACAGGATCTGGCAATAGTGGAGGCACTCAACACATATTTCTTTAATGGAAAAAGAAATTATAGAACAGTCTAGTGTAAGTTAATTATAATTATTATTATTTAACATACATATATTTTTACATTTATTTTACATTTGGCATTGACATTGATATATTTCTTTAATAGAAATTAAATTACTTTATAACATAGTTTTACTTAGATTGATGAAATGCGAGAAAAATAGAAGAAAAAAGTCATCTCCCCTAGATTTCCATCACCCAGAGATGGGGGAGGGTATAGCTCAAATGGTAGAGTGCATGCCTAGCATGCACAAGGTCCTGGGTTCAGTCCCTAGTACCTCTTCTAAAAATAAATAAACCTAACTACACCCCCCCCCACCAAAAGAGAAAAACAAAATTTAAAAAAAAAAAACCTCCATCACCCAGAGATCCTCATGGTTACCATTTGGTATCTTTCTTTTCAGTCTTTTGGCTCTTTCTATACATACAAAGGCCTTTTGAGCCTTTTCCTTTTCCTCATATAATATTTTATTGGGTACATTTCCCCATATTATTAAATACTCTTCAAAAACATGATTTTTTTTAATGGTATCATAATAGTTCACTGATTCTGTAAGTGATTTGAGCACTTAACACTGGTTTTTACACATAGTAAGCACCCAATAAAAATTTATCACAATTCTTAAAATTTTTGATCTCTTTATATTTAAAAAATTTTTTTGGCCTAAATAATGTTATGCCCATATTTGTGTCAGATCTTTGCAAGCTTCTCTGATCATTTTCTGATAAAGATGCAGAGCTGTGCATATTTTAAGCTCTATCTTATACATGACCAAGGCCTGTCACAAAAGGTGCGCCAATGTGAACCTCCACAATGTGTGGTAGCTTCCATTCCAGAAAACCACGAATAACATCATTTTAAATGTCTTTGTTTAACTGCCTAAAAATGGAACTTTATTTTATTAAATATGTATTTATCTCATTATTTGTGAGGTTGAACATTTTATATGTGTATTGAAATCTGTGGTTTTGCCTTTTTTTTGCCCATGTTCTAATAGGAGAAGTCTTTGCCTTTATCTTATTGATTTCCAAGATTTTTTTTTTAAATATAGGGGTATTAACTCTTTCTCATATCATTTTTATGTTCTATGCTTTTTATGGTTTGTTGTTTGGTTTTGTATTTTATGTGTTTATCACACTGATGTAAACATATTTTTAAGTAAGTTTATAAATATTTTTCTTTATGATTCTCCTTTTGGTTTTACACATAGAAAGACCTTATTATCCCTACGTCAGAAAAGTTGTCATCTTTTCTTTTACTTATAGTTTCTTTTTAAAAAACATGTATTTATTTTTTTAAATATTTTAAAATTTCTTCCACTAATAATTTGTTTTGCTATAGGATACAATACCATTTTTGCTAAAGTTGATGGTAATGATCTGTTTGTTCATGCATGTGCCAGTACCGTACTTTTTATTAGATAAACTACACCATGTTAATTACATAAAACTGAGAAATTTAAAATTCAGGGTACTAAGTCCCCCACCTAGAACCTTTCTCTTTGTGGAAAATTTTTTAAATGTTTGTTGTTGTTGTTGTTTTTTGCTTTCACATTTCCAAACAATGACTTGACTGAAAGAATACATCCAACAAGAATTTTTCAAATAAAAACCTGTCTTGGGAGTAGTAAATAAATAAATAACTTTTCTAGCCCTGCAGAAGAAACTACTGCATTAAAATTTAGATTGCTTCTTCAAAATAACCTTCATTAAGTGACTTCATAGAATATCTATAATCATGACTTCCACGATGCCACTTGTGGGATTACTTTACAACGTCATCAGCAAACATGCATTTCTCAAGCGAATCGCTCTTTCCTCTGAAATATAATACAGTCGCCATTATGGATGTGTGATTGATGGATGCCCATGCCACTGCCAAATCGTCTTCAGCTGCTAAGAATTGACCCTGCTCTTGAGTATTGAAAATACTGGCAACAAAATGAGATAGACAGAGTGCTAGTTCAATTCATTTTTAAACGCCTACAAATTAATTCTGTCATTTCTCCTTTCAAGGTCTTAGCATGATCTTGTCCAAATTAGGACATCAGCAATAAAAAACAACTTTCCCAGAATTTATTTACATCCACAGAAACTAGCTTCAGAAAGTTTGCAAATGCTTTATATTCCCCTAGAGTTCTTTGATAAGCACTGAGTTATAATGGGTGCAGTCAACAAATAAGTATTAATATAATCCTCAAAAAATTTACTGAGCATTCTACAGTGTGCTGAAATGTGATTAATTATTTATGTATTTATGGTAGTCATTTATCACAAAACAACTACAGAAGACCAAGCATGGTTCTAAATTATATATGGTCTTCACAAAAACCCTACAGAATCAGGACTATCAGTCTGGTTTTACTGATTAAAAAACTGAGGCTGAAGGACATATAATTTCTCAAGACTACATAGCCATTACACAGCAGAGCCCTGCTCTCTCTAATGCCAAAACCCAAGAATGTCCTCAATTGCTATGTGATATAATTTTACTCGTCCTTGTTTGAGATTAGCTGCCTTAACAGGGTTGTTTCAGAAAAACTATTCTGTTTGAACAATCTTAAAAAAAGGTGTTTTCCTCCCAAGGGCACTGAAAGTTTTGCCCTCCAAAATACATCGAATATTCATTTTAAGTATAGATGAAGTATATCACAAAATAATGAGGATCCGCTGAGTCAATTAAAAAAAATCAGTTTAGACTTTTAGCAACCTATTGGGGCTTGTAAATTAATGTTATAAAACAGTTACCCACAATAATTAGATTCTGAGAACTAAACATTTTGTCTAAGATGGACACGAAATTATACTATAGTCCTGTGGGACCAAACCATCGTGTATGAGGCAATGACTTTCCGTGGGGTCCATGTTCTGAGTCCCAGCCTAGGATACAGTGATGGAGCTGGCAGGTGCTAGCCCACCCCTGCCCCTGTCACCCCATGACCCCTCCTCAAATCACTAGCAGTGGTTCGTTTGGCTAGCACAAGGGTCTTCAGCAAGGTGAAGACTAGAAGAAGCACAGGACTGGAGTCTCCATGCAGGAGATGAGCTGGAGGTGGTGGAGGCCAGAGCCTCTTGCTGATAGTCAGGCCAGGCCCAGCTCAAGCAAGCGAATGCTCTTCATTTGTAGCAATATATGTTGGTCTGGCAGTTTCCTCTAGAACCACCACTACTTGAGGCTTCCAGCAAAGATCTTTTCCTTTCTTGCTCTACTCAAGATTATAAAAGTCACACAACCTTTCCTCCCCACCTCAACCCTGGGAAAGCAAGCACCTACCTCTCTTAGACAACATGAGACATTTTTCTGTCATCTTAACGATGTAGAACCAATACGAGAAAATGCTGTTGCTAGGCCCCCTTCCTCTAATCCGATCTTCTTTTTTATTCATTTAGGTCCTAAAGGAAGACAGGCTAATGATTCTTTGAACATATTTATATATAATATAAACTGTATTAACTTATAGCCCAAATAGTACTATTACCTCTCATCTTTATAAGCAGTTGTTTTAGAAACACAAAAGTTCAGTACAAATCCTTTTTATGTATCGTTTTTGTTTGTTTTTGCTGCGTATTGTATGGGATTCCTCTGACTGTGTTGTTTGGTTTTTATTTTTTAAAACACCTTTATTGTGGTATAATTCCTGTAAAGTGCACATATTTCAGATGTATAATTTGATGAATTTTGATAGAAGTTAGGTGCCTCGTTAGCGAAGTAGGTAGCATGTCAGTCTCATATATATCATTTTGATATGTACTAAGGATCTCCTACAGTTATTTAGCGACTGTTTGGAGAGCCCTTCTTTAACTTTTTCCAAGCTAACTAGATAGAAAACGGAGACGCCTTCATGACCGGTCACTTGATATAGCCCAAAGTCCACAGTGAGCTAGTTTTGAAACTCTTCTCTTGAACT